TCTATGTAAGCTTTGGAAGCATTGCGGTCATGACTAAAGACCAACTCATGGAGTTTTGGCACGGTTTGGTGAATGGTGGGAAACCATTCCTCTGGGTCATTCGGCCGGATTCTATTGCCGGAAAGGACTGGGAGAGTCAGATTCCGGCGGAAATCTCAGAGGGAACGAAAGAGAGGGGCTATATTGTGGGTTGGGCACCTCAAGAAGAGGTGTTGGCACACCCATCTGTTGGTGGGTTCTTGACACACAGTGGGTGGAACTCGACATTGGAGAGCATAGCTGCCGGAGTTCCGATGATATGTTGGCCGTACTTTGCTGACCAACAGATGAACAGTAGGTTTGTGGGTGAGGCGTGGAAGCTTGGGTTGGACATGAAAGATACTTGTGATAGAGTGATTGTTGAGAAGATGGTGAAGGAACTGATGGAAGTGAGGAAGGAGGAGTTTCAGAGATCTGCTGATCAGATGGCTAAATTAGCAAGACAAAGCTTGAGTGAGGGTGGACCATCGTACTGCAATTTGGACCGTCTGATTAAGGACATAGAATTGATGGGCGCTCGAGCTACTCAGGGCTAATGGTTGTCTTGTCTTTTTACATGGTTTATGCTAAGAAAATGAACACTTGTTTGTGGCGATTGATTTTATGTGACAATTAAAAATAAAAAATTATGAAAGCTTTTGTTTAACATCATCCATCATAAAAAAAATAAATAAATAAGGATTGAGGATTTTATAATTTTTTTTATGGTGGATGATTTTTTCCATGGAAGACTTGTGGAGTTTCACTCAATATATATATTTAGTTCATGTATGATTTGTACCTCCAAATTTATTTTTAAGTTTTGGAAAATAATTTCTAAAAAAAAAAATTGATTGACCAACTATTTTTTGCTTTTGTTTTTTACAAACTGCGAAGAAAAGGTGAGTAGATTTAGAAAACAAATTAGGATTGTTTTGTGTGTTTTTGGAAATAATTTTTTCAAAATTTAGAAAATACCACTATCACAATATTTGACATCACCACATTTTTATTTTCATTATTTTTTGAGTTACTATCTAAATAATTTTTAATATTTTTTATTCTATATAACTTTTTTTTAAAATTATATAACCAAACAAGTTATGCGACACAAAAAAACACTAAAATAATTTTTTAAAATTCTTCCCAAAATTTTTTTTTTAACATCATTTTTTGATACGCAAACCAAACATGTAATATTTACATTTGCATTGTGTCAGGGGCAACTCGACATAACTGGAGGCCCTAATATTTTATAGGATAATAATATGGATATGACTAAATAATTATTAAAAAATAATACATATTCATTTGAAATTTATTTTTCTTATTTTTGAGATATAAAATTATTAATTCAATTTTTGCATTAAAAAATTTATGAATAAAAAGTTCATTAGTAGAAGTTGAAATTGAAGACCAAAATATAATATAATTAAGTTTCCTATCAGTTAACAAAATAAAAAAATTAAAATTTATTAATGCACGAAATTTGGTTTTCATAATATGGAGGTTAGTAGAATTTTTGAATGGCAAGTTACTGTTTGGTTGTGTGTTTCTTGCGTGTTAAAAAATAGTTCAGCAAAATATCCAATCCAGATAACAATGGCCTCCAGTTTAAGCTCAAAAAAAAACTATAATTTTCACAAAATAGGTAATAGATAGTATTAGCCAATTAATTTTGATTATAATGCATGAAAAGTTCAGTGTGAGGAGATGACGACTTTATAAGCAAAAGTAATATAAAGGAAGTCATTTAGGTATATTGTAATAAAATTTACTCAATAGATATCCACCTCATTTACAATTTTATATAATTAGATTTGTACCGCATATAGACTATATTCAATATATTTGTATTGACCTGTTTATTTGAAATGTCTAATAAATTCACTCGTTTTTATTACTCAAATGTATTAAAGTTATAATCAAAGTTATAAATTCTGTATCGATGGAGTTACCATGTTGTAGTTCAAATTGCATATTCTAGTTAAAATTAAGGTCCTAAAATTTTTCAAAGGATCTAAATTTTTTTTTTTTGAGGGACCTAAATTTTTCTATCTGTTTGGAGCCCTAGGCGGCAGCCTTGGCCTTGGGTTGACCCCAACCTATTGGTAAATCAACTGGCTCTGGCCTATGGTTTAGAATTCTGCTTTTTCATTGTAAAACTGCATTTTGAAACGACACTGTAAGAAAAAACTTCTTTTGCAAAAACATTTTTGTTTAAAGGTGCTTAAAGACGTGTTTTATAAATGCATTTTTGATTCAAAAACATGGGTTTACAATCTGATTATATAAAACAATAGACAAATTGGGAAATAACCAAGAGACACGGGTAAATTGATAATAAAAAAAAAAAAAAAAAAAAAAGGTCATGAAACCTTTAAAATCTCTCGGACCATAGATTGGTTATGTAGTGTGATTCGTTGAAATTGATATGGAGAAGTCGTTCATAAGTCGTTCATAGATTGTTTAATGTTTGATAGAGCTTACCGTTAATTCAAATTTCACAGTAAATTAAATTCTAATAATATTGCTCGGTCTCAATAATTTTATTTGTGAATATAATTGGCTAGATTTTTTTACTGGGACTCTACCGTTTGACATGTTATTACGTTAATAAGTAACAGAAAATTTTAAATCCCAAATTAGTATTAATATTGCAGAAAACCAAAGGTTCCATTTTTGAGTTTTTCTTTTTTTTTTTTTAACAATGGCACCCACAAACCATTTCTTTCTCGCTGTCCTTTTTTAAGTTTTGTTACAAATTTATGCTACGATTTGTTGGAATTGCATTGTCAGACGCAATTAGTCATGGATTCTTCTTTAGAGAACAATGATTTTTTTTTTTTTTTGGTTATAAGCTAAATCTTAGGATCTCAACCTTAAAAAATGGAGATCAAAGGTTCATCAATTCTCCAAGTTGATGGAATGAATTTTCCATCCTTTCATATATGAATGAATTTTCCCCAAGTTGCATAAAATAACAACCCATTGATTCAGAGATGAGATAATGTCTCATTTTTCACTGAAAATTTTCTCCAAAGCCTCAAATGTCCACATCCATTGCTCCAATAAAACCAACTCCTACCGACCACCATTGCATCTGCTCAATGTAACAGTCGGATGTGGAATCACATACATATCATTAAACCAGATTTCAATAATAATGACATATAAATCAACAACACAATTAGTGAAAATCAAATAACACCCACTTACACCAAACTAACAATGTTCCATTAATAAGAACTTCCCATCAGATAAATGGAAAAAAGAAAAAAACCAGATGCAAAGTCCTAATTTTTGCACCTCACATTGTGTCTGCTTCAAATCCAATACGGTGTAAAGCAAAAATTCACCATGTATATTTTTCAAACAGGTGGTGTTCTCAACTAGCGGTTTTAAATTATTGGAATGGAATCAAAATCACTTCTATGGACCATTAGTCTTCACTCTTCACCTTCAAGTCCATGTTCAGCAAATCCATGTTCTGATTACAAAATAACAAGGACAAAATAATCAGCAAATACATTTTTCTCCTTCATTTCATATATAAAAGTCTACTGCCATCGCCAACTAATACCAGTTGCAATTAGTCAGAAATAAGAAATTCCATCTCTCTGCATCTTCTTCTTCTCTATGTTTCCATTTCTCTGAAACTCTGAAATTCTTCATGAAAAATACTGGCGGGACTTAAGGCGGCTCACCAGCCCCCGAATCGACACATGTAAAATTGTAGCTGTTATGGAGCTCAAAGGATGCCGAGGAGTGGAGCCGAGTGCTCAAGTTGACACCCGCATTCAATGCAAGTTGACCATTCATTTATGGCGATGCGAGTGATAGAGACAGTGTCATTAATGAGCCCCAACATTCTCAGACCCTAGGCTTACGGTCATGATGGCTAGACATTAATGGCTGATATCCCGAGTTTATCTCCTTGGAGCGTCCCGATGTACTGTTCCCCCTGAGTATTGAACACTCAAAAGTAGGTGTCAGGCGCCAATCGTAGGCACTCGAGTGCTCGGCATGTCTCCGAACACTTGTCTTATCATCTTAGCATTGAATATGTGAAAATCTACCTGGAGAACATTCCGATCTTCGTGGGTAAAAGTGTCAGACATTGAATGTCCAGATGGGACTTGAAGTCTTTGCATTCATTAATATTCTAGATATAAATACTCCACAGAAAAATGAACAAAGGTACACAACATTAAACCAAAATATTTGATACATTGAGTTAGAGCCTCCAATCTTATACTGACTTAAGTTTCAGAGGGGATAAGACGGGTGCTCACCTAGCCCCTTTCTCTGACCCTGTGATTGCTGCAGGTTCACTAGGCACTAAATCACTATCTCAAATTATTGTAGGAATTCTCCCATGTAAATACTAAACTCTTGAATCAACCTGTAAAGAAAAAAGTACTAAACACCTTCAATTTTTTGATTTATTCATGGCCAACAGTTGCTCTTACATGATTTCTCATTTTAGAGAGAAAAATGATTGCTTGCCTGTTCCTCCACCCACACAACCTGGGTATCTCTAGGTCTCAACCTACTTTCACCAGTGATGTCCATCGAGAGAGAGAGAGAGAGAGAGAATCAAATTGGGGGTGAGAAATGTGGTGTGGGAGGGAGAGGAAAGATTTGCAGAGAGAGAAAGAAATGGTGATGGAGAGATGGGTTTTAAATTTTTGAGTTGTTGAAATTTGAAAAGAGTAAAAAGGACGATTGTTTTTTTCTTGGAGTTTGTTCTATTAACTTTCCGTCCATATACACAATTGGGTGGTTGAGTTGACTTTTTTTAAAAAAATTCTGACAAAACAGTGACGTGTAAACATTTATTGGCTATGCACACCACATGGGCAAAGCTAGGTGGTGTGTATCACCCATAGAAAAATTTCTCATGCTTTTTAGTTCAATGCATCTTTAAAAGTTTCATGCTTTTGTTAAAAATCAAAGTAAACCACCAATTAGTCTCTCTGATGGATCAAAGTGCACTCCCACCTCACGTCCTCATCTTCCCGTTACCCTTCCAGAGCCCTGTAAACTACATGTTTAAGATAGCCGAGCTTCTCTGTCTTTCAGGCTTCCACATCACCATCCTTCTCACCGACTACATTTACAATCGCCTTCAACGTCACTTTACTTTTCATTACCGTTTTCAAAACTATCCCTGGTTAAATCTTGAAACCATCTCCGATGGCCTTCCGGCGGATGATTCCCATTTCGTTGCTAGGGTGCTCGACTCTTTAAGGACCATAACCAAGAAAATGTTCAAAGAGATTGGCAGGACTCTAGGTGGCTCTATAGCCCTCGGGTTGACACGTAAAATAATGAAACCATTGGGATATCCAAAGGGTGCCGAGGAGATAAGCCGAGGCATGGTGACACGGAGCAGCCGATTACAACATCTGACATCATATTTAATGCGATGCAACCCCTCATTCATGGCGGAATGAGTGATAGTGATAAGACAAATAAATACGCGCTTGCCAGCACCTGTTCTCTTGGAGTTTAAGCCTACTGTCATGATGACTAAGTATTAATGGCTGATGTGCCGAAACGACGTGATCGACTCTCCCAAGAAACTGTTCCCCCCCAAATATTCAATGCTCAGTTGATGTCGGATGCCGATCTGGGGGATATGGGTACTCGGGGAATGACATAAATGCTCGGCATTTGACCGAACATTTATCCCATTTTTCTCGCATTCAATAGGAGGAGATGTGAGTAGAAAACACTCATTGCACGAGGAAAGGTGTGTTAGACGTAAGATGTCCAGATGAGACTGAAGATCTTTGGCAATCATTGTTAATTTAGGTATAAATACTCTTCAAAAAAATAGACAAAGGTACACAAACTTGAATAAAAAAAATAGTCCATTGAGCAAAATCTTTCGACCTTATACTGACTTAAGCTTCGGAGGGGATTAGCCGAGCGCTCTCCTGACCCCCTTTTTTCTGACCCTGTTATTTCAGGTTCGTCAGCTTGAAGATCACTATCTCATACTATTGTAGGAATTATCCCGTTCAGAGATGCTAATTTTTGGCCGCTTGAGTTCTAAAACTCGCCGGCCGTTGACATGTATCATAGCAGATGGTTTTTTGGGTTTTGTTTGTGATGTTGCTAATGAGATTGGAATTCCTGTTATATATTCTCGTACGCTTAGTCCTTACTGCCTCTAGATATTTTTCTGTCTGCCCAAACTCATCCAAGCTGATGAGCTTTTCTTTGAAGGTGTGTTTGACCAACTATGAATTTGTACTAATTAGTCAGAATTTGAATACTTTGATGTTTGAAACTAACANCTCTCTCATGGATCAAAGTGCACTCCCACCTCACCTACTCATCTTCCCGTTACCCTTCCAGGGCCCCGTAAACTCCATGTTTAAGATAGCCGAGCTTCTCTGCCTTTCAGGCTTCCACATCACCCATCCTTCCCACCGACTACATCTACAATCGCCTTCAACGTCACTCTACTTTTCATTACCGCTTTCAAAACTATCCCTGGTTACGTCTCGAAACCATCTCCGATGGCCTACCGAAGGATGATCCCCGTTCCGATGCTAGGGTGCTCGACTCTTTAAGGACCATAACCAAGAAACTTTTCAAAGAGATGCTAATTTCTGGCCGCCTGAGTTCTGAAACTTGCCGGCCGTTGACATGTATCATAGCACATGGTTTTTTGGGTTTTGTTTGTGCTGTTGCTGATGAGATTGGAATTCCTGTTATATATTCTCGTACGCTTAGTCCTTGCTGCCTCTGGGTCTTTTTCTGTCTGCCCAAACTCATCGAAGCTGATGAGCTTTTCCTTGAAGGTGTGTTTGACTAACTATGAATTATACTTAATATTTTTTGATTAACTATGAATTTCATCGAACATCGACAGTGTGTTAATCCAACACTTACAATAAATCATATTATTAAATAAACAGATAAAGCCAGATTTTTTACTGTTGATTTGTCTAAGAGAATTTTTCAGAAGATGAGCAAAGAAGATATATCTTCATTGAGTTATACTTGAGAGTATTGCTATTGTAATCTAGAAATTTGTACTAATTAGTCGGAATTTGAATACTTTGATGTTTGAAACTAGTAAGTCCTAAACACTGCTGCTTGTAAGGGAACGACTTGGACACACTGATAAAAAGTGTACCGGGCATGGAGGGTTTTCTCCGGCGACGTGATCTTCCGAGTTTGTTCCGCTCCGGTGCCCTATCTGATCGAACGATAGCTTTGATCAAGATGGAGGGCGAAGAAAACGTAAGAGCCCGTGGACTAATTCTCAACACATTTGAAGAACTAGACCGACCCATACTGTCACATATACGTACTGTCTGTCCAAATCTCTACACCCAAATCTCTACACCTTCGGACCACATCATGCACACTTGAAGGCCAAACTCGCAGCGGCAGCAACGCCATATTCACCGTCATCAAACAGTTTGTGGGAAAGAAGACAAGAGTTGCATCACTTGGCTAGACTCACAACAGTCCAAATCTGTGATATACGTAAGCTTTGGAAATCTTGCAATGATGATGAGAGTCCAGCTCATGGAGTTTTGGCACGGTTTGGTGAATAGTGGGAAACGATTCCTCTGGGTGATTAGACCGGATTCAGTCGTCGAAAAAGATTGGGAGAGTCAACTTCCTACGAAAATCTCGGAGGTTACGAGAGAGAGAGGCTATATAGTGGGTTAGGCTCCTTAAGAAGAGGTGTCGGGGCATCCAGCTGTTGGTGGGTTCTTGACACACAGTGGATGGAACTCGACGTTGGAGAGCATAGCCGCCGGAATTCCGATGATATGTTGGCCGTACTTTATTGATCAGCAGGTGAACAGTAGGTTTTTGGGGGAGGTGTGGAAGGTAGGGTTGGACATGAAGGACACCTGTGATAGAACCATAGTTGAGAAGATGATGAATGATCTGATGGAGGTGAGGAAGGAGGAGCTTTTGGAAAAGGCAAATCAGATGGCCAAATTGGCAAAAGAAAGTGTTAGTGAAGGTGGAACATCATACTGTAATTTGAACCGTTTGATTGAGGATATAAGATTGATGAGTGGGACCACACCCCATGATTAATTTCTCTAAGAATGGGGTGCGGATCAACTAAGGCTCCATTCTTGTCGCTCGTTCAATTACTGTAATCGAATTATAAATTCTGTATCAATTTGTCTATGAAGTTACCTTATTGTAGTTCAAATTGTTCAGTCTATTTAAAATTAAAGGCCTAAAATTTTTCAGGTGCCCAACCTATGGTTAAATCATCAGTGATGGGCAAAACTTTCTGACCTACGCGTAGGACCAGGGATGGTGTTTAAGACTTTTTGAAAGTGCTTTGATCATTTGACTTATGGAATGAAAATATGGTTTAGAATAATGACTTTCACCATCTAAGTTGGTAGTTTAGTTATAAGTCATATCTGCTTCAAATCGTTCTTGATTTTCATGTGATTATCAAATAGGGCATGATTCACAAGAGTAACGTGATTTGCTGTTTTACTTTTGTGGTGTTGTGATAATAGGTTATCATTTTGTATTTGTAATTATGTGATGTAAATCGTATAACATCATAGTAATTGAGTCAGTGTGATTAATGTTAGGGTGGTTCAAGCTAGTCAATTAGATTGGCTTTTTCGTAGGTACTTTCACATATATGAGTTTCCAAACACCAATATCCAATCACCAACCACATGGCGAAATGAACTCATTGCACCACTAATAGGGGATGCAATAACTCATGGCAAAATTTGGACAAATTCCTACTTTTAGGAGTTGAAAATGACCTTTTTGCCTTTTTTGGTAATATTTTATAATCGAATAACTTCACCATCTAAAGACAGAATTGATCAATGTCTGTTCTGTCTTAATCCGAGTGATTAGTAATTTTTAGCAATATAAGTAATTTGAAATTTTCCTTTTTTGGCAAAATCTATATTAATGGTTTAATCTTTTTATCCCCTTTCGTTCATTAAATCATTATTTGTACCCACTTTTCTAAGTCATTATAGTTCAAATCGGACATTTCACAGCAGGAGGGATCCTCGTGGTCACATCCAAAAAGTTTACTAATCCTCAAAAGAAGCGCGAGCATTGGACTTTGCCTGATATAAAAATTCTCATGTTTGTTCTCCCCTCCATGGGTGAGGGGAACTTTCGGTCTTTTGGTTCAGCTATTACTAGTACTTATAGTCAATGTTTCTAATCTGGATGAGTGGAATGAAGGGATAAAAACCTGCTTTAGAGGAAATAGGTGTGAAATGAGCTTTCAAGCAAAATTTTTTTTATTTAAAGGTGCTGAAAGATGTGTTTTACAAATGCATTTTTGATTAAAAAACATGTGTTTATTATCTGATTTAATACAACAACAAACAAACTGAGAAATATCTTAGAGACACTAGTAACTTGATAATTGGTGGTGCAAATTAATGGCGAAACAGTTTTGTGGCAATGAGTCAATGAGATAAGCAATATTCTGATTATTAACGTCTGAGCCACTTGGCTTCGGGGAATAGTGGTTAAGGTTCTCGGGATCTGAGCTACTAGACTCGAGGGAATGATACTGAGAATTATTGGGGAGTTAGAGAATTAATACATTAGAAATATAGTGGTTCACCAACTCAGGAGCTCGACTAATTCACTCTTCAATGGAGATTCTTGCTCCTTCCTTCACTATTTACTATATCAAAAGGTTTATAGAATGTAAGATGTGATACTAGGGTTCTACCCCTCTGTTGGGGGCGTTACATAGTATTTATAGGGCTTTTCCTAATTCTGCGGGATCTGCCCCAAGATCTTCGCCATTTATCCGAGGAATCCTTCTTGATCTTAGGAGGACATCTTTCCTAAATGAGAGTTTTATGTTTCGATTATGACACTTTGCTGCCTCTAGGGTTTTTGTTGACAAATAGTTATCTCTTTATTACTTCGGCTGCTACTTCGATTGGGCTGGGCTTTACTCTGGTTTTATGAGCTTTGTGCATCTGACCTCCGCTTCCGAGCTCATACTTGAAAATTGCTCTAAGTATCATCAATTGCCCCCAGCTCTTGGTCAAGCTGGCTTGGGCAAGGGCTGAGCTTAAGATGTAGCGGAATGGCTTCCTAATCAGCGACTTCGAAGTTTGCATGGGAATTTTTTTTTTTTTTTTGTAGGTGCTCCTGACCTGAACCTGCTTAAATTGATGAGGGTGGAACAAATGATGCAAGCTGAGTCCATGTCTTTTTCTGATCTCATGACGCCAGATAATCTGTTCTTGTTTAGCGCCGCTGCAGCTGAACGGGACTTTCCCTTTTTTCCTGAATCTGGTATATCTTCTACCGGGCCTAATGAGAGTGAGGATGATGGGACTCATATCAAGAAACGCAAGAGGAATGGTTCATCATTTCCTTCATCTAGATCTTTCCTAGGGGAAGTTCTGTTTTCCTCTGTTGGACAAAAATTGATAGATCTATTGTCAGCGAGTGAGAAGGAGAGGGATGAGCTGAAGGAGGAGAACCTGCGTTTGAAAGAGAGGATAATCGAAATGCAGAGACGACTAGAAATTTTGCTTTGATTGATTTTTTTGTAATCTTTGATGTTCTTGAAACCTTGATTTTTCCTTTCCATGTTTGCCGCTTCTTATACACAATTTGTGGCTTTAAGAATTTGGCAGCTGATCTTCCATGTCGTTTCCTAGCTTGTGGACCAAAGACCCTCATTTTTCCTTTTTGTAATGGATAAAAGTTGTGAAGCTTTCCCTCTAGTCTACATGTTGCAGGTTTTGCTTTTAGTTCTTTTGGACCGGGAAGTGCATTCTGAGTTGCTGCGTTTGCTTTAGGGACAGAAGAACTCGTCCTAAGCTACTGAGCTATTTTTATGGACTGATAAGTTCAATGTGAGCTTCAGAGCTTTTTTTATGAACTAACAAGTTCATTGTGAGCTCTACGACTCTTATTACGGACTAGCAAGTTCGCCGTGAGCTGCAGGGCTCTTTTTATGAACTAACAAGTTCATCGTGAGCTCTAAGGCTCTTTTTATGAACTAACAAGTTCGTTGTGTGCTACAAGTCTTTTTATGGACTAATGAGTTCGTCGTGAGCTCCAAGGCTTTTTTTATGAACTAATGAGTTCATCGTGAGCTATAGGACTCTTTTTATGAACTAATGAGTTCGTTGTGAACTCTCAAGCTCTTTTTATGAACAAACAAGTTTATCGTGAGCTCTCGAGCTCTTTTTATAAACTAACGAGTTTGTTGTGTGCTCCCGAGCTCTTTTTATGAACTAACGAGTTCATCGTGAGCTCTAGGACTCTTTTTATGAACTAACGAGTTTGTCGTGAGCTCTCGAGCTCTTTTTATGAACTAAGGAGTTTATCGTGAGCTCTAGGACTCTTTTTTATGAACTTAAGAGTTCATCATGAGCTTCTGAGATCATTCCTATGAACTTAGGAGTTCATCGTGAGCTATTGAGCTTGTATTCATGAACTTAAGAGTTCATCATGAGCTTCTAAGTTTATTCTTATGAGCTTCTAAGTTTATTCTTATGAGCTTCTAAGTTCATTCTTATGAACTTAAGAGTTCATCGTGAGCTATTGAGCTCGTTTTCATGAACTTAGGAGTTCATCGTGAGCTATTGAGCTCGTTTTCATGAATTTAAGAGTTCATCGTGAGCTATTGAGCTCGTTTCTATGAACTTAGGAGTTCATCGTGAGCTATTGAGCTCGTTTTCATGAACTTAAGAGTTCATCGTGAGCTATTGGGCTCATTCTTATGAACTTAAGAGTTCATCGTGAACTTCTGAGCTCATTTCTATAAACTTAGGAGTTCATTGTGAGCTATTGAACTCATTTTAATGAACTTAAGAGTTCATCATGAGCTTCTGAGCTCATTCCTATGAACTTAGGAGTTCATCGTGAGTTATTGACCTCGTTTCTATGAACTTAGGAGTTCATTGTGAGCTATTGAACTCATTTTTATGAACTTAAGAGTTCATCGTGAGCTTCTGAGCTCATTCCTATGAACTTAGGAGTTCATCGTGAGCTATTGAGCTCGTTTTTAGGCAATTTTACAGGGAGAAAATAAAGACATGCAATTTTATTGAGAACAATCAGATTACAGAAGAAGCTTACGAAAAAAAATCTCTTAAGATGCTCCGTATTCCAAGAATGAGGTTAGAGTTTCCCTTCCTCGGTTTGCAACTCGTAATTTCCCGGCCTTATCACCTTTGAGATGATGTACGGCCCTTCCCAATTTGCCCCCAGCATCCCGTGAGGCGGGTCTCTCCTTGCCAACAGAAGTTTTCTGAGCACTAGATCGCCCACCTTGAAACTCCTTCGTCTGACTTTCTTGTCATAGTACCTGGTTGTCCTCCTCTGATAACTTTTGATACGATGCAAAGTTGTATCCCTCTTTTCCTCTATGAGGTCTAAACTCAGTAGAAGAGACTCATCATTGTCCCCTTCGTTGGCGAACTCAGTTCAGGGGGATGGAAGTCCAATCTCGACTGGTGCCACTGCTTCGGTTCCAAAGGCCAAAGCAAACAGTGTTTCCTAAGTCGCCGACTTGGCTGTTGTTCTGTAAGCCTTTAGTACTTCTGAGAGGTGTTCC